TAGAAGTGAACAAATCACATTAGATATATGAAGATGAAAAGATAAATAAAAATTAAAAGTTTTATACTTAGCTCTGTTTTAAACGGCAAAGACTAAAACAACTAGAATATTTTATTTCTTTCACTAGTGGATAATTGTGTGTTTGCCCAGAATAATGCCACAGGTCCCTTCCATTATTATTCTAAGCATCTTTAAATAAGGAACAAAATACAATTATTTTCTTTTAGTTGCGGATACTCACATCTACTCTAACAACACGAGCCTCTGTTATCTGCTTTGTGCCCCGTTACTTCCCTTTATACAGTCCCAGCTTCCCTGAACTGGGCCACTTCCTCTTCCCTCAATATCATCTATTTCTTTCTAGCTCTAGTCTGAGCTCTGCTTGGAAGATGTCCTTTCCATCTCTCCATTCTCCTCTTTATTTTTTTTTTCCAGCCCTCCCACTTATGAAGGTCCATCTCAAAAGTGCCAAGCACCGACCTACTCTGAGAATGGATTACCAGTTCTTGGAGAAAGCCGCACTTTTATTCAGCCTTAAAGAATGAGTTAGTATCCATTAGTTGTTTTTCCTGATGGGTGTTAACTCATTCCCTAAGGCCAGCTTAATACCTGGGTGACAAAATAATCTGTACAACAAACCCCCGTGACATAAGTTGACCTACTTAACAAACCTACATATGAACCCTAGAACTTAAAATAACAGTTAAATAAAAAATTAAAAAAAGACAACCTGGAAAGTAAGCAGGCAGTACTACCATGTAAAGCTTTATGTCTAGTTTAGCAACCCAGGACTATGGTTTCAAAATCAAATGCAAAAAAAGAATGAATTAGAACTACTCATTTCTGGAGGTGTGAGGCTGAGTAGAGAGGGGAAGGAAGAGATGTAGGCAATTAGCATTCTTTGTTGGCAGACTAGGAAAATGAGTTAAGGAACAGAGAAGGAAAGCTACCTGATAGATGTCAGCAGACTACCAACAGCTTCCTATTGACATCAATTCCGACAAATTGGTGAGAAATGAAACAAGAAAGGGAATCAAGTATCACATTGTGAAGGATTTGGGTCTATGAAAAATGCTATACTTCTGTAGGGGGTGCTCCTTAAGTTTATTGTAGAGAAAAATGGCACAGTTCCATTGGCATTTTGACATGCTAGAGGCCCACTGAATATGGCCCTAATCTGGTCTTCACAGCTTTCATTTCCGTTGCTCTAGTACAAAGTCCCCAAACTCTTATCACACGTAGCTACTGACTCTTACGTAAACACAACCCATATCTTTCCTGCTTGATAATCTCACTCTGGAAAACGAAGGCCCATTTTGCTTGTCATCTGCAAAAACGCATATAATGCTCTTCCGATGGTGGTTGTGAGGATTAATGAGCTAACACATGAAAGTGTCCAGTCTACTGTTTATTGTCACTTATTAGAACTACAATTTTCTCCCTTCTTTCTGATGATTTATCTAAACCTACTTCAAATTACAATTGTATGTGTACCTGCTACAAAATTGCAAACTCCCTAAAGCTAGGACTATATCTCAAATAGTGGCTCTAACCAGGGGCAATTTTGTCTTTTAGATAACATGTAACATTTTTTACTTAAAAAGAAAAATTGCCTCAATTGTTGATTGTCTTGGTTGTAAGATGTTATTGTTTAAACATTGACAACATGTAACAGCCTCAACAAAAATGTACTACCCAACCCAAAATGTCAGTGGTAACTAGAACTCTGCTTTAGTTCATCATTGTGGCCCAGGTAGCAATTAGCAGAGTTGCATATTATAGGAGACTGGAGTCATCTGTTCTCACGCTGCTAATAAAGACATACCCAAGACTGGGTAATTTAAAAAGGAAATAAGTTAAATTGACTCAGTTCTGGATGGCTTGGGAGGCCTCAGGAAATTTACAATCATGACAGAAGGAGAAGCAGAGACCTTCACATGGTGGCCACAAGAAGAAGAATGAGAGCAAAGGAGGGGAAAACTCCCTTATAAAACCGTCAGATCTTGTGAGAACTCACACACTATCATGAGAACAGCATGAGGGTAACCGCCCCCATGATTCAATTACCTCCCATTGGGTCTCTCCCATGACATGTGAGGATTATGTGAACTACAATTCCAGATGGTGGGGACACAGCCAAACCATGTCAGAGACACTGAGAATTGTTAGAAATAATTTGAAGTCCCTTCCTATAGATAAATTTTATGAATTGCCACTGGGGAGGTAAAATTAAGTTAGAAATTTATATTGTCTAGGGAAATTGAAAGATAGCAGAGTTTATGAATATTGATTAATTTGGGGGACACAAATTTCCATTTGTAGTTAGAGGTGACCAATTTAAAAGCTAAAGTTCTCTTAATCAGCAATCTTTTGTAATAAAATGCAGCAGGATTTACTTTTATATCAAAGGAGCTCCCCAGATAGTTAAAGAATGAAACTGAATAATTAAAAGATCGCTGGTAAGCAGAATGCAATGCCTTAGCTGCATTCTGGGAGAGTACACTTAATAATCAAGAATCTAGTGACACTGTAATGAGAAGTTTAAACTTACTAGCCCTGAATCTCAGAATGTATCTATGCTTGTTACCTAGATTTTCATTTCAAAGAAATGAAGTGATGAGTAAGCTTTTTTTTAAAGTTCGTAATTAGAACAAATTGCTTTACAAATAATCTAATAAGCATTTAACACTGAAAAGAAGAGGAAAACTATTGATAAGCCTGAGCATTTAGCCGTATATAGTAAGAACTTAATGTGGAGGAAGAGGTAAAACTATAAGCAATACCAAGGGGATTTAACCAAACCCATAGGCTCTTTACCTAGACACAGCCAGATCCAAGTGCCAATAACAAGCAGCTTATGGGACTGTGTCACTCCATAAAAAGAGCATTTTCATGGGTCCTGGTGGTTAAAAGATCAAGATGTGGTAGTATAGTCTTTAATTTTCTAGTACCCATGAAAATGCTCTAATTACTATGTGATTTGAGTTTGGACAAATGAAAATCTTTGCTAGTGTCAAATAGGAGACATTGGTTTTTAATTCATACAATGAACTCTAAAAGTAAGTCCCATAAAAACAAAGCTCTTCATGACTCTATTATATGAAGTGGTTCTCACTATCACTATTTTATTGCCAATAGCAACATATAATTCAAAGAGAAACATGCTGATTTGATGAGTTTTCTAAAATATTTTTTAAAAAGAAAACGCAGTCTGCTGATACAGCATCAGTGGTATTTATTTATCTATTTATTTTTGAGATGGAGTCTTGCTCTGTCGTCCAGGCTGGGCTGGAGGGCGGTGGCATGATCTCTGCTCACTACAACCTCCACCTCCCAGGCTTAGGCAATTCTCCTGCCTCAGCTCCCGAGTAGCTGGGATTACAGGCATGTGCTGCCATGCCCGGCTAATGTTTTTTTTATTTTATTTTTAGTAGAGATGGGGTTTTACCACAATGCCCAGGCTGGTCTCGAGCTCCTGACCTTGTGACCCACCCGCCTTGGCCTCCCAAAGTGCTGGGATTACAGGCGTAAGCCACCACACCGGCCCAGGGCTATTTATTTTTAACTCTTCATGATGTGTACTGGTGCAGATACTACAGTGGTGGGTAGAGAGGGCAGGGGGCATGCATTCCCTCTCCTCCAGGATCTTAAAACAAAAGTGTTGGAAGACTACGTTGCATCAGTCTTCTTCCTTCAACTCTGCCTCTCCTGGCGTGGTCACTGCTGCTTCCTCTTTTGCCCAGGAATGACCTCTTTTTTATCCCATGCCAGTTCTTTTCGGAAGATAGCTACAATCTGCCAGAACGTGCTTTCTCTCTCAAATCCAAATTGGGGACTTAAAAGTTTCTTTTCCCCAGAGGCTGCTTTGTCTCCTAATAGTTCTGCGCTCATTAAATACCTATTAGTGTACCCTTTGACTTAAAAATATTCCGCTCACTTCCTCCAGAAGATCACTCTCTGTCACCTAATGAAAAACAACTTCATTAGGCTTGTCGCAGCAGTTCCTTTTTTTCTCGTGCTTTCACTTCCTGACTGAAGACTGTAGCTATTCCTAATGTTTTCTTCCCCACACTAAATATTATTGTATGGGGTGGGTCGTCAGACAGATCAATGCCTGTCTGAAAGGTTGTGAATAATCTTCATCACTATTTTGAGGACATACCTTTAAGGACTCCTCCAAACTAGATCAATCTGCAAAAAGAAAAAGAAAAAAATAGTTTTCTACTTATCCAGAAATTATATTTGTTTCTTTTGACTAGTCCTCATAATTTGACTAAATAAATATTGTACTAATATGAAGAAATACAAAAATACTCTATCTGAAAAAATAGATCAAATGACTTTGCTGTGCTCCTTTACAAGCACACAGACCTTTTTGTAACGTTTCAGAAAAGACAATGTGATGTGTGTAATGTCATATTCAATGCATTTTGATGATACCCCTTACTTACTGGTGTCCACCTCATCACTTCTCTGTAACATATCTCTTAATTATATTCAGTATGCCCTGGTTTCTGTTTCAGATCTGAGTTTTCCTTACTTAAAAAGAGCTCATGCAGCAAGCCACAGAATCGCCCTAATGTTTTTTCCCTCAGAGCATTTTTTTGATGGTCTGTGGAAGTCCAGTTTTTAGAATCTTAGACTCTGGGCTAATGAAACGTAAACTAGAAGTTGATTGGCACAAACGCAAATGTTAGTCCACTAGTGAATGGTTATAAGTCTTTTTCTGTACTGAAAATAATTTGTTTTAGAGTGTCTGGCAATTAATAAATCTTACACATAAATGTAGGTAAAAAAAAAACAGAGAAATACATTTATTTACAAGACAGGTGAACATCATTTGAATCAGGAATCCACACTGGAGTCAAGATCCAGTCCGATGAGCTATGTTGGAGCCCTGAGTCTGGTTGTAAACTGCCTGACTTTGAAAAGCCACTCCCCAGTGAGGTCTGGCTTTGTTGCCTTTGTCTGATGTCTAAAGCGTCTCTGTTTTGTTTCAGCTGGCAGGTTTCATCTACGCCTGTTATGTTGTGAAATGTATAACTGAAGAAGAGGACAGCTGTAAGTATTAAAGCTCTATTCGGTTTATTTCAAGTACAAAGCATGTTCTTTACTGCCTTCTACCTAGCCTTCCTATTCCTCAGACAAGATCCCAAAACACAGCATTAGAATGGGCAATAAGCATTTTGTGCCCATTAGACTAAAGTGTTTTTCATAACAGTATCCAGCAAATTGAAGAATGGAGAAGCACACCCATTTTGAAAACATAATTTCTTTCTTTTCATCGAAGGCCTTTTAAAACTCCTTTCCTCTTATAAACAATTCTAGTAGGGAATAGAGAGGAGAGATTAGGGATGGAAATGACCTTAAGGTGTAGTTGACTCGACTGTTCTCTTTTTATGAACCATTTACTAGGTGTTGATAACTAACCAGTTTTACCCAAGACTACAAATTCCCAAAAAAAAAATCAACAATTTGTAATAATTTCTAAGATTGTCATAAAAACTGACTTCAGATTAATTCAGAGAATTTGTCTTTGGGAGATCAAATGTCCATCTGTCCTTTTTATTCCTACTATTTTGTACAAATGGCTAGAATTCTACTTATGTCAAAGTCTCAACATTGAGACATACTGCTTGATCCGGAGTTTAGATAACAGTACCCTCTTACAAGCCTCCAAGTGGGTCCATTCTCTGCTCTCTCAGACATGGAGGGGAGAAGGTTTTATTCTATCCTTGCCCCTAAGGATCTAAAATAGGAGAACTGGGAATGTACTTCTATTCTCTGTGGGTACGATCATGGATAATTGCCCATGCAGTTACATTTACTCTGAGGAAAAATCAGAATTGGGAATAATTTTTCTTGGTCTCAAAAAATATTTATGATGTTGGGTTTTCGAAACAGTAATGAAAGAGGAAGGTGAGAATATGATGATGTGAGGGAAACATCCAAAGACAAATATATGTTTCTTCTTCCCTTTCCAATTATGCTGGAAAGGAAGAGCAGCATCAAGTGATTAATTTATAAGAGGCACTTTTAGATAATACTCATACACAAAATCAGAAATATACAGTATACAAATAATTTATTTCATATATAAAAGGAAATAATGGTCCTTTCACTGAATAAGCATGTGTAAAATATTCCTCAATGTTTCAAATGTTATGTCAGCCTTTGGAGATTTTAGGATGAGTCATACATAATATTTTACCACTAGGAACTTGCCAACTAGTAGGGTAAGAAAAACCTGAGCAAATGAATATGAAACTCTGTAGTGCATGCTGTGGATAAGGAGAAGAAAGAGACCAGGAGAAGGTTCATAGAGAACACTCTTGAGCTGGATCTTGAAAGATGAATCGATCTGGGTGAAAAAGCACCAAAGCATATCACAGCCAGATTAATGTGACTGAATTGTTTCCTATGCTACAGGTAGGAGAAGACTGGAAAAACAAGTATGGATGAGATAGTAAAAAAGTGGGCATGACAGATTAGGGAGTCTAGACTTCATATAATACAATCATGGGTCAAAGGGCAGGTGGTTTTTAAAAGGAGAATAACATAATAAAAAATGTACTTTAGGAAAAATACATTAGCATCACTATAAAGAAAGGACTCAAGAGGGGGAAAGATTAGGGAAAAGAGAACTAATTAAGATGCCATGAAAATGAGACATGAGATAATGTGAATCTGGATAAGGACTGTATTGGAGATAGAGAGGATAGATGTGACATGAGACGTGCCAAAATGACATGATTAGTGGGTGATGGTGGGTACTGTGATAAGGGAAAAGAAGAAGACTGCTAGATTCCTGGGTGTCTCATGCAAGTGAATGGGTAGATGGAATTGCCACTTGTGAAGAAAAATGGGAATAAAATGTATTCAAATACTAGGAAGAGCAAAATTATATGGATGTTAAAATGTATGGACCACCGAAACAATGTAAGTTCATTCAGATATTACCATTCAGTGTCTGTGTGTCAAATCCCTGGTGAAGGGGAAGTCCCCAGTTAATTTTCATATGGAAGTTGGGCTTTCTCTGGGCTGTGTTGTTGGATTTCATTTCACAATGATACCAGTGCATTTTTATCTTCAGACAATATGTACTGACATACCATGTCTCCTACATGCATCATCAGTATTTCAGCGGAATAGCACCTCTCAAAGGAGATCTCAGAAATGCTAGTTCCACAAGATATACTGCTCAAAAATAAAAAAGATTCCAAAGCCAAGTTAAGTTTGACACTGAAAATTTAGAATGCACACTTACGCATTAATATTTCTGAGAGTACTGCCAGAAAGAAGTATGTCCATTTTTTTTTCTAACCCACAGTTTTGTTTTAACCATATTACCTCGAAGCCAGACAGAGCTCAAAGAGAAAAACCAGAAAGAGCTCCACAGCTTGATAATACCTTCAGTTCCCCCGGGAGAATACCACATCCCCCATGGGGGAAGAGGCAGGGTCAGTCTCGAGGCAGAGAGAGAGCGGAACCTTTAGTCTGAGTCCCACAGGAAGAAACGGATGAGGCAGGGTAGGTGGCCTGTTAGGACAGGTTAGCTGTGTTGCTAAGTGGTGCCCATGAAATTCGTGTTCACGGTGACTGTTAACACACAGGTTTAGGGCTATGTACAGTCTCCACATGTTTCTTGGGGTGAGCCAGGGCTTACTTGGAAACAGCTAGTGGTCATTTTGTAGAGGTTAAAGCATCAATTTACAGAAATTAAAAGTATGGTTAATACAAGCCTCCAAAAAAATTTGAACACAGGAATCCTGTTTTTTACCCCCCCCCCCAAAAAAAGCCTTAATATTCTGGAGAATTATTCTAAGGGAATTCTTCCCTAGATCAAGTTTTGGCCAAAGCAATGTAAATTCAAGGAGTTTCAAAGTCACCAATATCTGTTGGAAGATCAACTTATCTCTCAAGAATCTAATAAGCTTTTTTCCCCAAAAGACTCCAAAAAATAACATGTATGCCTGTCTGTGTATCCTGACCACAATACCACACCTGCCTTCATTAATCCAAAGCATAAGCAGACTTCTTAAAGACAGGTTTTATCATGTTAGTTTTATTACTCAGTGAGCAAAATATGAACTCTTTATTTAAATCCAAATAGACTGACGCTTGCCTCAGAATCTTTTCTATTTTTGAGCAGTATGTCTTGTGGAACTAGCATTTCTGAGACCTCCCTTGAGAGGTGATATTCCGCTGAAATAATGATAATGCATGTAGGAGACATGGTATGTCAGTACGTATTGTCTGAAGATAAAAACGCACTGCTATCGTTGTGAAATGAAATCCAAAAACATAGCCCAGAGAAAGCCCAACTCCATATGAAAATTAACTGGGGACTTCACCTTCATCAGGGAAGTGCCAATCTATTTGGATTTAAATAAAAAGGATTTAAATCCTCAGTAAACAGGTGGGAGGAGATGCTCATTTGGGCTGGTTCTCTGTCCAGTAGTCTTTGGTGACTTTCAGTTAGGTTCATTTACTTGCAGTCATTTACACATAGACACACAGTTATGAGTGTGTTTTAGTTACAAGGCTTTGGGTTGATATTCTCCATGTGTGATCGCTTGCCTGATATTCATCCTCAGACACTGCCTGGACATGTGACTTTCAATCCATCGAGTAAAAAAGGTTTGACATTTCTGTATAATTTTGGAAATTATATTATCAAAAAATCATCTTGATCCTTAAAAAGTTTGGTAATATACATGTAAACACTGAGAGGGTCTCTGTGTGCCTACTTTTACCCACTTTGGATTTGCAATGAGGCATCATGATTCGTAGTGAACCATAGTGGCAGGAGTAGGTGCTAGCTACCTGCTAACCAAATTGGTTAAGTTTCCATTACTAAGAGCTTTGTGAGGAACAGAGGACAGATTTGGTTCTATGATTTGTGCTTAGAATGGCTGTGGAGATAAGGGCCCAATTATAGCAACTGGACAAAAAATTCTTGAAATCAATATGAAGCTAATCAGTAACATGCTCAGTTCTGATATGTCAGCCTCACAGCAACAAGTGTATCCAGGGAACTTCAGAGGAAAGAGGCAAAAATCTCCAGGAAGCAATAGAGAGGGTTTGAGCTCAATGTGCAGAGTCAAGCCTAGACTCAACGAAATAGCAATAAATCATCACTGAAAAAGAAAGTTAGGCTCATGAACATCAAATACTTGAGAACTTTTTCCCCTTATTCATCCTTTCAAGTAGTATCTCATTACTTTTCTAGAGCCCAGTTTGATTGATATTTATAGAGATACTGTTTTAGTTCCCTTGGGGTACTATAACAAAATATTATAGGTAGGTGGCTTATAAATGACAGAAATTTATTTCTCACAGTTTTGGGGGCTGGAAAGTCCAAGATCAAGAGACCAGCAGATCTGACTTCTAGTCGGGGCTGGTTTCCTTGCTCATAGGTGGTACCTTCTTGCTGTAGCCTGACACATGGTAAAGGGGCAAGGCAGCCCTCAGAGGCCTCTTTTAGAAGGTCACTAATTCCATTTCTGAGAGCTCCACTCTCATGACATAACCACCTTCTACAGACCCCACCTCCTAACACCATTATGTTGATAATTATGTTTCAAATATGAATTGGGGAGGGACACTAATTTAGATCATAGCAGACACTTTATGTCAAGGGTTTTTGGGATTTTTTCCCATTGAAACAATCTGGACCTTGAAGTTTACATCTCTGATCCTTTAGTTATCTAAGCCGGAGCCACAGCCTGGCAGGTCAGCTGGCTGTGCAGACTCACAGGGCGCCACTGCCATCTGCTGTGCCTACCGGGAGATGACAGCAACTCTCCAAGCAGAGATCGTGGACACTTCTTCCCCCAAGAATTAGTTAGCTAGGGAAGCTATAAAAACATACCACAGACACAGTGGCTTAAACAACAGGAATTTGCTTCCCAAAATCTAGGTGTTAGAAACCTCAGGTTTGCTTTATCCTGCGGCTTCTGTCCTTGGCTTGTAGACAGCACTTTCTTGTTGTGTCCTCGGGGTCTTTTGTGTGTGTGCTTCTTCCTCTTCTCATGAAGACATCAGCTCTGTTGGATTAG